CAGGGGTTCAAAGTACTTCTCACTAAGGTCTCAATCTTTATGATGATTGGATAAAGTATGCTTATGTTTTTACAGACTAAGATGAGGGGTGCGAACTGATGAAATGGCATATTGAGTGGGCTCACATCACGTGCCATACATGAATTAGCTGAATTTAATCAGTAGAAAATACAACAAACAAAAAACCAATATGCCATGGCTTGCAAACCACAATGGCTAAATCCACACATTGTGTTAAGCAAAAACGAAACAGTCCTAATTATGGTTTCGGGTTACAATGAAGCCAGCCATTGTGTCCCATATGTTACATGGACCTGATACTCAAGTCAAACTCTTAATTGCTATTAAACACTAGTGCTAAAACAATAAAGAATAGCAATAGAGGGGGAAAATCAGAAGTCAATAATAACTATATCCATATTGCATTTAAATTTAACAATTTATCTTAGAACTTCTGTGTCACCCTGGAATGTCATGTTCCTCAGCTCATAGATTAACATCTAAGTCTGGAAGAACTTTCGGCTTAAACCCCAAATATCTCCACTTAAATGGATCAAGTATTGGATAAAGGGAAGAACCCAGCTACATAGGTTCATATTGGCTTGGCTTTTGTCAACTTCCTATACGTCTTTCATATAAAAAGAGAAACAATGACTCGACAAATTAGAACCAAGTTACACCAGTAAAATGTGGTTTGATTGATTCTGTGCAGAAACCTAGCTGTGATTGAGGAAGCGGTGTGATTATTTCATCATGGAACAATCTCACAAGTCTCAACCAGTTAGTATTTCACCATTCCAGCAGCTTCATACATGTGAAATGTGCTTCTGGTGCAACTTAAAAATAATCCCATTAGCATTCTGATCACCGATGAAGCCAATTTCAGCTTGGAGCATAAGTTCCAGTTCTCAATCTACTCTGAGTTACTTCAGGATAAATTGTAGAAAATATCTCAGATATAAAAAATATGTGGAAAGGATTTACACATCTCTCTCTCTCTCTTTCTCTCTCTCTCCCTCCCTCCCTCCCTCTCTCTAATGAAAATGGATTAAAATACTGGTTTTAAATGCATGAAAAATTGACAAGATGCTGTTTTTAAGCTGTTTTTAAGCCTTTAGACATTTACTTCTGAGTGGTTCCATTCTGAGGTGAAATGCCATGCATTTCCATTAATGCCATCTGGAATGCTTACCCTGAGTAGAAATGCAGATTATAAATCAAATAAATAATTTTTTAATGTTTCTAAATGAGATGGGTGGCAAACAAGGCAATCAATCAATAGCTAAATCCAAGAAACTGAAAAGCTTATAAGTGGTAACCAGAACAATATAATACAATTATCTTAATAGATATCAAGAGTTATTGCACTACCTGCATTCTTATCTAGATTTCTTGATCACTGTAACCTCCAGATGTTCCCTGAGTTATCCAAGTAGATAAAGGGAAAAGAGGTTCATCCAGCTGCAATCATGTTGAGTTTATCAAAATCTCATAATCAATGGGCTATAAAAATTAAGAAGGGTTCCAGATTCATTTGATTTTACAGTTTCAGTGAAGTTCTAGAACCATTTCTCTGTTCTTATAAATTGTAGAACAATATATATATTTAAGACGTTTAAATCAGACTTTGACTCAATGTTAGAGTGTGCTCCATAGTGCCGAGTTCAAAATATTATTCATCCCCAAGCATTGTGGTTTGTAAGTTTCATCCATAGCTTCCTTTGTTTTCACAGAAGATAATATAGTATCACACTAACATTCACCTCCATGTTTTTGTGTTTTCTCTGCTCTTGACAAGATGTAATTGCCCAGTTTTTGGAGCAGAATTATAAAAGGATTTGATTGTATGATTCCCAAGTCTCCTCTTAAGAGAAGACACAGAAGATAGTTGACATGAGAAGGCGCCTCTTTGGCGTATCCTCTGGGGACTCCAATGTAGACGATGTCTATGAGAATTAGAACTCAAGCCAGTTGTGAAAGGAAGAGGTCACTGAATTTTGCACCGAAGGCAGAAGAGTCTGGGAACAGCTGGAGGAAAAGTAGAGCTCAAGTGTTGAAGCTGAAGAGCTGGCCAAGAGGAGGAAAGAGAGACAGAGGGGGAGGAAATATAACAGGGTGGGGAAGAAACATGGGAACCAGACAGACTTCTCCTGTCATCTAAAATATTGGCCCTAACATGAATAAGTCCAGAGAGAGGGGGTGTTCCCAGTCTGAGTTTAATCACACACACAAACAAAATTCCCTTTGGAAAATGGGAACAGTCAAAGAAAACTTCTGACAAATTCTTCCACTTCAGAGCAATCATTGGTGAGATGCGCTAAGCCATAATAAAGTTTGTTTGGCTGTGGCTTAGCCTGAAGTGCAAATTCATTCCTTGCAATTCATCAATTGTAAAATAATTGATGGTTTATTGTGCGTTCAACACACAGTGTTCCAAATAAACAGTGGCTTGATGTAATTGTGGATCCATCATATAAACCATGGCTTGCAGAAATGCAGAGGTTACGACTAAATATTCATTAAGGAAATGAATTGGGGGCGGAGAAGAGAAAGAAGCACCTGGATTAGATTTACTGGGATATCGTATGCAGGACTTTGATAGTGTTCTTTTCTGAGCTCAGTGTTTATAGGCCAATATTGTTTGAAAGTTGTGTCTGTGTTTTTCTTTCATCAGCAGGAACAAAGCCAGCTATTTTTTTGTGAGGTAGTTTGTTGCCCTGCTAGGCGGCCTCATGGCTGGAGCCACACTGCTTATGTCTTCCTCCAATAGATCTTTACAGGCTTATAGATCTCTCTGTATATGTCTCCGTTTCTCCCCCATCAACAGCAGAATCTAAACAATCTTGATTCCTGTCCAGCCTGCAACGCCCAGACTAAAGGCTGGAATTTTTTGAATGGCAGGAAACCGAGACATAGCTTGTTTGTTGTGTTAGGAATCTGTGGGTGAAACAGAACAAAATGAGTCCTGGACTTTCAGGACCCAAATTTTTCTGCATTTACAAAGAGGAAGGTTGCACGAGTTGGAAGCAGATTGGGCAGGGTCATGACTCTGCCAGATTTAGTTTGGCAGGAGTTTTTCTTTCACAAGGAAGTGAACAAATAAGCAACCCCCTGCCCTCAGAAAGAAAGAAAGAAAATCCACTTTGCTCCTATCTTCCCAGTGGAACAGCTGGAACATTTTTGGATTCTTGCAAAGAGTATTTTATTTATCCTTGATGAGGTTACTGCAAAACCCCCAAGTCTCTCTCAAATCAACAGTTGACCTCAGTTCATGAAGATATAAGAGCAAAGCTGGAAAAAAGCCAGAAATGCAGCAAAAATATATATATATATATATCCATCACCATCACAGTAGTACAGGGAAACCCTTTTGGCCAGAGACTACCCCTATACAGCTTCTTGACTTCTGATTGGGCAGGAAGAGTAGAGAACAAAAATATAAAAACTTAAGGTTCACAAATGAACTGGAAGTGCAATGAGGCCCTGCACATTACCTCTTTCATGGCAACCAGGTTTATTAAGATTATTGACAGCCTTCTTAGTGTCATCCACATCGACTTGCAGATGACACTAAGCTGCCAGGAAGAGCCAACACCCCAGAATACAAATTCAGGACCCCAAAAAATCTTGACAGTCTTGAACAATGGACCCTATCCAACAACATTAATATCTCCACATTAAATTGAGAAAAGCAAGGTTTTACACTTAGGCAGAAAAAAAATCAAAGATACAAGTGCAGATTAGGCAAAACCTGGCTCAAGAATAGTAACTGAGAGGGACCTTGGAGTCCTGGTGAATATGAGCCAGCAGTAGGCGGCAGCAGCCAAAAAAGCTAATAGATTCCTTGCTTGTATAAACAGAGGCATAAATCAAATCGCATGAAGTGTTAGTACCGCTTTATAAAACCTTAGTAAGGCCACACCTGGAATACCGCATCCAGTTTTGGTCACCACATTCTAAAAAAAGATGTTGAGACTTTGGAAAAAGTGCAGAGAAGAGCAACTAAGATAATTAAAGGCTTGGAGACTAAACATATGAAGAAGAATGGTTGCAGGATTTGGATTTGGCTAGTCTAGAGAAAAGAAGGACTGGGGGCACATGGTAGCAGTATTCCAGTATTTGAGGGGCTGCCACAAAGAAGAGGGAGTGAACTTATTTTCCATAACACCAGAGGGCAGGAAAAGAAACAATGGATGGAAACTAATCAAGGAGAGAAGCACTGTTAAAGAAACTTCCTAAATGTGAGAACAATCAACCAGTGAAACAGCTTTCCTTCAGAAATTGTGCGTACTTCATCACTGGAGGTTTTTGACTGGACATCCACTTATCTGGAATGGTATAGGGTCTCCTGCTTGACATGCTTCATAGAATAGGAAGGGACCTTGAAGGTCATCTAGTCCAACCCCCTGCTCAAGCAGGAGAATCTAGTCCAAATATTAGCCTCTACCTAGGATTGAACTCACAACCTCCTGATTGTGAGGTGAGAATTCCACCTCTAGGGTCACTGGAGCTGACTAGAAGACTGCCAAAGTCCCTTCTTGCTCTATTCTGATGCAATAGAAATCTAAATGCTATTGCTATTGCCGATCCTACACACAACGCTAGAAGGCGGGGGGGAGGGATACAAATTCACTCTCAACTTGACTAGCCCAATGGTCAGGATAAAGATTGACCATGAGCAATTCCATAGAGATAATTATCCTAAGATGAATTCAGCAACTGTGTCTTTCCCGGTTCATTTGTTTCCTTGGCAGAGTTCCCAGCTCTACAGTATCATTCTTTTCCCTCTTATTTTATTTGATGTTTTTTTCTTTCTCTCTCTCAGATGGATGAGCATACTCTGTACATTTATCCTTCATTTATAAAAAGGATATGTATGTAGAAGTAGGCACAAGACATTTTTTAATATGACAAGTTTTATTACAGTGTGTATTTGAAAAGTGCTTATTAGTATCCTTATTAGTAACTCATTTTGGTGTTGTTGTTTTTTTGTTCTGCAGAGAAAATGCTTCCTCGAGAAGCTATTGCTGGCCTTTTTTCAACAATTCTATGTCTTGCAGGAAACATCGCACTCACAGCTGGTAAGAAATATTTGAAGAATAGAGAGGCTTCTCTGGAATTTTGTTGTTTTGGTTTGTATTAACGTCTATGAAGTTTAGAGAAAAATATTAATGTTGATGTCCATTGTCATTCATAAACATAGTTCATTTTATGTGGTAACTCTTTGCTTCAGCATATTTTACTGAATCAGCATCAATTGGCTAGCTTTATTCATTGTATTAAGACTATGTTAAATTGAGATTATGGCTTACAAACTACAGTGGCTTGGTTCATTTTAAGCCAAACCAAGCAAACCAAGCAATTAAGGTGAGTGTCATATGTGAATTCTTATTGTCTGAAGGTCTCCTATTGTAGAGGGAATAGAGAATGGCTGTTACCAAGGCAACAATCAGACAAGCTGTTTTGAACGCATTCCAAGAAAAAAAAACACTAGAAAATGCCTCAGACAAGCCCTTCCCTAATTCACATGAAGATAAAAGGAGGGAAGCACATTCATACTTACAAAATTCTGTTACTATGACTGCTCTAATTAAAATATTTATCAGAACATCATAAATACCGATGGCATTTGTTGCTTATAGGGCTGACACCTATTCCTTAAAAACTCCTACCCCTTCTTACTTTCTGCTCTGTATACTTGTAACTCCTTGCAAGCACAACTATCTTGGTTTTATCAGATCTCTCAAAAATCTCAACTTTTTCACCGAAATTGATGGAATCTCTTCCCATGACTTTAACCGTAACTTAGTTGGTGACTTCGAGTGAGCTAGTTACCATATTTACATACTCCTATGAGCATTCCCAGTATTATAATCTTCATTTTCACCACTTCTGTGGTTTTCCTTTCCACAAAAGAATCTCTCTGTGCAGTATTTCCTTGTTTACTCCTTCCTTGGCATAGTGTCCCATTTCCTCTGCTGTTTTCCGCAGGGTTGAAGTTTAGAACATTCAGCCTTGTAGTTTGTGAAATGCCATACACGTAGATGCAGCTGTCTAGCATTAGCGAACACAGATTATTTTATGGATAATTATGTTCAGTTTCGGGAGAAGCTAAAAAAGAGGGAGTAAAATCAAAGAGGGAAAGAATTTGACTTACAGTATCACACTGCCCTAGCATACAGCTCAGAAAGCTGGAGGATCACTATGTAAAGCTTAAACATTGACACCCAGAAGCTAAATGTGGCTCTTTCTTAGTGAGATGCCTTATGTGCTTTAAGGGAAATAAAACTTCCAGAAGAGTCTTTGAAGAAACCAGTGCTAAAATTTATTTTGTGTCTGGTGAAAAAAAATAAAAACGGACACAGATCTTACAGTTTCATCAACTGGGCCAAGCTAGTATCTACCAGAATGAGAGACAATGGCCCTATTGTTTTATTCTCCTAGTCCTAAATAACCCTCTTTTAATGCTAGCGATTGATAGCATTTTCCAGAGTTGTCCAACCATCATTGTGCAAAATAACAGTCACATTGTTGGCTAGCTTTACAATACTTCAGCAATAGTTGGGTGATCATAGGAACATGCTGGAAGTCACTTTTGTGGAAGTGACTCGCGACTGATTTTTGTATGCTTTTGATGGTTACACAGGAACACTTCATTAGATGCCAATAGAATGCTTACTAAGAATAATGGGCAGGACAGATGGAATAGGTTAGAACCATCACTGTTTTCTCATCTTCCTTATCATACTGTGAGTTCTAGGTAGGAAAAACTGGCTGGGTGATCTTGGGCCAGTCATTCTCTCTCGGTCTAACTCACTTCACAGGGTACTTGTTGTGGGAAAAATAGAATGAGATATTGGTGTGTTCATTACCTTAAGTTGTAAAAGGTGGGATCCAAATCTAAAAAGCAAAAACAAAACTGGGTTCCCCCAATATTTTCAGCTAAAACCAAACAAATCCTAATTGCATGACTCCAGCCACTAAATACTATACAGCAGTGATGGGGTTCAAAAATTTTTACAACTGGTTCTGTGGGCGTACTTAGTGGGCTTGGTGAGCATGGCTTGGTGAGCATGGCAGGGGAAGCTTACTGCAAAATCCCCATTCCCTCCCCACCCCACTAACCTGCTTTCCAGCTCTGTTCTCCTGTGCAGGGCAACAAAAGAAGACCCAGCTGATCAACTGGGACTTTGGAGGCAGAGAATAGATGGAGGGGGGCAGTCAGAGGTGGTGTTTGCCAGTTTTCTGAACTACTCCAATTTTCCGCTACCGGTTCTCCAGAACTGGTTAGAATCTGCTGAATACCACCTCTGCTATACAGCTGTTGTATTAGCTGATTTAGAAGGCATATAAACAAATAATAAGATATCCATTCATACCTGTGAATTATATTTTCTTTTGTATTACAGGTCAGTCGAACTGTGTCTGTATGCAATCGGACTGTTCAAGAAATTTCACATGCTCAGGAGATTGGTGTTTTGTAAGCAGACACTTGGAGAATGGGGAAATAATCAATAAGAAAGGCTGTCTGCAAAAAGCAAATGAGTTTTGCTGGGGCTCTATCACAGAAACCTTCGGCACAAAATGCTGCCAGGGCAACATGTGTAATTTCAATCTTTCCGTCCGACTAAAAGGTATTTTTTATTGTTATTATTTCCTTCTATGAAGACTATTCTCCCCTAGACGGGAACAAGATTGTGTGCCTTTTGACTTTCCCCCTACAATAATATACACAATAGGTTGTAGTATTATACACACGCGTGCACAGGCACTCAGCAAGCAGTTGTAATCTTTCCATTCCTGGATAAAATGAGATGCTTTTACATTTTGTGAATGGATTAGCTAATCAACCCTCTTTGATGTTAAAATTCTGCTTTCTTTTGAAATGGGATTGTTACTCACCATCGTTATCTCTTGATGGTTTTGGTTTCATGCCGAAGTTAGGTTTCCAGTAAGGTTAAGAGGCTGCTTTAGGTGCTAAGCTTTTCCACTTTTTAGAATTATAGGACTGGAAGGGACCTTGGAGATCTTCTAGTCCCTGCCCAAGGCAGGACACTTTACACCCCACCCCCCAAACAACAAATGGCTGTCCAATCTTTTCTTGAAAACCTCCAGTGGTGAAGCACCCACAAATCCAGGAGGCAAGCTCTTCCATTGTTCTCACTGTTAGGAAATTTCTCCTTAGTTCTAGGTTGGATCTCTCTTTAACCAGCTTCCATCCACTGTTTCTTGTTTCTCTACCCTCAGCTGCTTTGGAGAACAAGTTGACCCCTTCCTCTTCTCTCTGGCAGTCCTTCAAGTACTGGAAGACAGCTAACATGTCCCCTCTAACCCTTCTCTTTACTAGGCTAAGTCAGGAGTAGGGAAACTTGGCTCTTTTATCACTTATGGACTTCAACTCCCAGAATTCCTGAGTGAGCCATAAAAGGTTCCCCATCCCTGGCCCACTGGTTTTTCAGTTGTGAGGGAAATCAATTTTTGACTTGAATGGGACTGTTTAATATACAAATGTAGGACATATAAAGAATAATAAAGAATAATAAAGAATACATTTGTATATTAAACAGTCCCATTCAAGTCAAAAAGAGCCAAGTTTCCCTACCCGTGGGCTAGGTAGACATACCTAGTTCCCGTAATTGTGCAATTTTAATCACCTCTGGACACCATAGTAATGCTATTTCTTGTTAATTATATCATCAGAGGAAATGAAAATCGTATAAGACTGTATGGCTTCCTGAATTATGGAGTAAAGAAATTCAGATGCCTCCTTCTGGAGAGATATTTCCATTTGTTAAGAATAACTGGGAAGTCATGCATCAGGGATCACCAAACTTGGCAACTTTAAGACTTGTGGACTTCAACTCCCAGAATTGCTGGCTGAGGAATTCTGGGAGTTGAAGTCCATAAGTCTTAAAGTTGCCAAGTTTGGAGACCTCTGTCATACATGGTTAATCTACAGGAACCGTTGCTGTCAGAAAAGCAGTAGTAACCAACTTTAACTCTGGGATTTAATTATTAGACTTGTTTATGGCTATAGAACAGAGGTGGTATTCAGCAGGTTCTGACCAGTTCTGGAGAACCGGTAGCGGAAATTTTGAGTAGTTTGGAGAACCAGCAAATACCACCTGTGATTGGCCCCACCCCCATCTATTCTTTGCCTCCCAAGTCCCAGCTGATTGGCTGGGTCTTCTTTTGTTGGCCTGCACAGGAGAATGGAGCTGGAAAGCAGGTTAGTAGGGTGGGGAGGGAATGGGAATTTTACAGTATCCTTCCCCTGCCACGCCCACCAAGCCATGCCCACAGAACCTGTAGTAAAAATTTTTGAATCCCACCACTGCTATAGAAGTACCATGTGTTATGGCTGATTCTAACTCAAAAGGGTCATTGTATTTTACATTTGCATCTGCACCCAAAAAAGATCAGGGATTACTTTTTTCTATAGCTTTTTTTTCTTTATTGTCAGCATTCTCCAATTTTGCTTTTTCCCTGTCCTTTCCTTCTTTTCCCTCTAATTTCTTTTGTTTTTTACAGTATGCTGTGTGTGTGAGAGAGAGAGAGAGTGTGTAGATAGATACCGTGTTTCTCCAACAATACGGCCTCCCCCAATAGGAAGTCCCAGCATGTTTTATAGGCATAAAATCAAACTAAGCCCCTCCCCCCCAAATTAAGGCCTATATTAAACATGCGAAATGGGGGGGAATGGCGGGGGGGTCCTTGCCGTTAGGAAGTACTTTTGTTGCATACCTGGATATGGTGCTGCCTGCGTTGACTTCGGCGTTGGTGGGGCACTTCGTATCAGGAGACCTTCCGTCACCATTGCTTTCCCTTCACCCCGTGCTGCCGGCGTTTGGCGCAGCCACACGTGGCCAGCTAGGGCTCCTCCCTGCAACCGGACCCCGGCAGAGACACTCGGCTTCAGGCGCTCCTGTCGCACCCTTTGCCTTCGAAGGCAAAGCCAATTCTTTTAAAAATGACGCCCTACTACTGGTATGACAAAGCCTCCCCTGCCCGAGAGGGCAGCCCAACCCCACGTGGGGAGGCGAATATCCCGGGGCTGCAGCACAGGATCGGCCCACCCCGGGAGAAGCGCCAGCCGCCATCCCTGCCTGGCGCCGGGCAGAGCGTGAAGAGCTTCGCCTGGGGCGCGCAGTGCAGCTGACAGGCGGGCCCTCCTGCCTGGCGGCGGAGCTCTCGCCAAAGCAGCGAGCGCCTCCCTGCCGGGCCCTCCGCTCATCCTGCCAGGGCCGCGCCAGAGCCGTGCGGGCTGGCCAGAGCCGGGAAAGCGAGCTGCAGGTGCACGCCCACCTGCCAAGCGAAAGAGCCGGGGCGACCCGAGCTTGGCTTCCTTCCCAAGTCCCTCCAGCCCAAACCCGAAGGGGCCACCGGGAGAGGCTGCCTGAGGCAGTGATAGTGCCCACCCGTCCGCGGACAGGGAGGCGAGGTGACGGCAGCACTGCTTCCCTGGCCAGCGGGGCCGGCGGAGAGAGCCCGAAGCCGCCCGTCCTTTCCACCCCTCGCCCCGTCCCCATGCATCTCCAAATGCACCAGCAGCTCCAAATACTGCAGCGGCATGGGCATCGGGCAGAGGCACTCACTCGGTGGGGCTCAGCTTGGAGGAGGACGCGGCACAGGCCATTGCCTTGCCTCCCTGTCCACGGATGGGTGGGCGCTATCACTACCTCGGGCGGCCTCTCCTGGTGGCCCCTTCGGGTTTGGGCTGGAGGGACTTGGGAAGGAAGCCAAGCTCGGGTCGGCCCGGCTCTTTTGCTTGGCAGGCGGGCGTGCACCCGCGGCTCACTGTGCCCAGCCCATACGGCTCTGGCGCGGCCCTGGCAGGATGAGCGGAGGGCCCAGAGGGGAGGTGCTCGCTGCCTTGCTCGCTGCCTTTGCTCGCTGCCTTGGCGAGAACTCCACCACCGGGCAGGAGGGCCCACCTGTCAGCTGCGCTGGGCACCCCAGGCGAAGCTGTTCGTGCTCTGCCTGGCGCCAGGCAGGGATGGCGGCTGGGTGCTTCTCCTGGGGTGGGCTGATCCTGTGCTGCAGCCCCAGGAGATTTACCTCCCCATGTGGGGTTGGGCTGCCCTCTCGGGCAGGGGAGGCTTTGTCGTACCGGTAGTAGGGCATCGTTTTTAAAAGAATTGGCTTTGCCTTCGAAAGAGAAGGGAAGGCGGCGACAGGAGTGCCTGAAGCCGAGTGTCTCCGCCGAGCTCCGGTTGCAGGGAGGAGCCCTGGCTGGCCGTGCATGGCTGCACCAAATGCCGCAGCGTTGCTCTAAACGCCGCGGCAGCATGGAGAGGAGGGAAAGCAACGGTGGTGGAAGGTCTCCCGATACGAAATGCCCCACCAACACCGAGGTCAACATCCAAGCCATCACCGCCCACCCGCCCGAGGATGCAAGGGTGGGAGGAAATGAAGTCACCCCCGAAAAGATGGCCTAGCCGTTTTTTCGGGGGTAAAAAAAAAATAAGGCCCAGCCTTATTTTGTGAGAAACACGATAGATAGATAGATAGATAGATAGATAGATAGATAGATAGATAGATGTATATATATAATTTAATAAAGTTTTATAAAAAGAAAACAAAAGCAGTAGTAACTAAATGGATTCTTCTTCCAATCAGGTGATCTGGATGAAAAGGACCCGCCTTTGAAGAATCTTCTCCTGATGGTCCTGGTTCCATTGTCTGCTATTTTGATTCTCACTATATTAGTTGGTCTCTTTGTCTGGAAGTGGGCCCAAAGCCGGCGGAGACATATGCCGTTTGGGTCTAATGAATTGGGCGATGTGGATTTTATGCTGAAGAACTCTCTGGCTGGCGACAGCACCTTGGAAGTAAGTCTGCACTAGGAATGGCATTCAATGCCACTGTGGTTAGATGCGCACCTTACTCTAAGCCACAGGTGTCAAATTCGCCACATCATGCTGCCACCATGTGACATTTCATACCTTTTTTCTATTCGCAGAGCTGGAGTGGGTGTGGCCTGTGCATGATGCATCCAGCCCACAGGCCACCAATTTGACACCCCTGCTCTAAGCCAAAATTGTTTTAATGGTGACAGGTTAAAAAGTAAAGGTAAAGGTTCCCCTCGCACATATGTGCTAGTCGTTTCCGGCTCTGGGGGTGGTGCTCAACTCCCGTTACAAAGCCAAAGAGCCAGCACTGTCCGAAGACGTCTCCGTGGTCATGTGGCTGGCATGACTAAACGCCGAAGGCGCACAGAACGCTGTTACCTTCCCACCAAAGTGTTCCCTATTTTTCTACTTGCATTTTTACATGCTTTTGAATTGCTAGGTTGGCAGAAGCTGGGACAAGTAATGGGAGCTCACTCTGTTAGGCCATGCTAGGGATTTGAACCACCGAATGCCGACCTTTCTGATCGACAAGCTCAGTATCTTATCCACTGAGCCACCGTTGTCGCCCTTTGTGACAGTTAGGTGACAGGTTAGGTTCAAATATTATAACCTACACTATTGGTTGCCTTTGGCTTGTTTTACCTTTCTGCTGTTGTATATTTTCCAGTCTAAATTGTTCGGCCTTGGGGTTTTTCCCTGCTATTGTTAGTATTTTTGCCTTCTCCCACAGGAAGGATCTTAGAGATCCACTAAAGTTTCTTTCAAAATAACTTCGGTATAAAACTATGGAGGAGAAGTTTTCTGAGATGGGAAATCAGAGAAGTTAAATCAAGCTAAACCAAAACGGCAAAGGTGCATTAGAATAATTTCTGGCTGGTGTTAGATCTTGTCTTTTTATTCTTTCCAACCCGACTGACTATTGGAAAGGAATTACTGGTACAACAGTTTGTTTAGTGACCGCTCAAAGTTACCACAGCATGGAAAAAAGTGATTTGTGACTATTTTTCACACTTACGACCATTGTAAGCGTTCCTGAGGTCACGTAATCAAAATTCAGATACATGGCAACTGGTTCATATTTATGACGGTTGCAGTGTCCTGAGGTCATGTGATCCCCTTTTGCAACCTTCTGACAAGCAAAGTCAGCGGGGAAGCCAGATTCACTTAACAGCTATGTCACTAACATAACAGTTGCAGGGATTCACTTAACAACTGGGGCAAGAAAGGTGGTAAAAACGGGGCAAAATTCACTTGACAAATGCCTCACTTAACAACAGAAATTTTGGGCTCAATTGTGGTTGTAAGTCAAGGATTACTTCTATACAAGGTAGATCAAGTCTGAGCCTGTCCCACTGACTTTCCACGTACAGATTGGAAATGGATTTGGAATGGCAGGAAAAACTGGTGAAAGAAATGCTGAATTTGTAAATGGGACTGATCCAAGTAGGCTCTGCAGGGTGGGGGGAAATAAACCCAATGTATCACTGTAGGACAGAGCTGTCAAACTCGTGGCCCACAGGCCGGATGCATCACGCACTGGCCACACCCGATTTAGCAAAGGGGGAGAAAGTCATGATATGTCACATGACAACAACGTGACAACACGAGTTTGACACCCCTGCTGCAAGAGAAGCACTTGGGCAGATGCTTGGAATGTTTCTGATTCCTCCCTTCTAAGCCTCCCTCCCTCCTGGTTATGTGACCCCCAGCAGAACATATGCATCACCTGCCCTGCACTTCCCATGCAAATGTACTGTATACCAAAAAAGATATGACATACAAAGAAAAAGCAGAAACTTACACAGATACAACACAAAGAGAAGAAAATACAGATACCTCCGGTGCAGTTAACTGCAGCTATCACTGCAGGTAAAGCAGTTAAAAAAAAAAATTCCAGGTGTTTGGGTGGGGGAGAAGCCAGCAAAGGAAAGGTCAAGTTCAAAATGAGCCGGATCCTGCCAAGGACTATGGGGGACGGGGCGGTTTGGCATCCTGAAAAAAAGTTCCCACTGCATTCATCTGATGAGGCTTGGCATGCTTATTACTCTCACCAAAATATACCTCTGCCTCTGTTCCTCTAAGATTCTTCACATGTTTGATTCGTATTCAGGTCCTGCTGAATGATGAATGCACGACTGGAAGCGGCTCTGGGCTCCCCTTTCTAGTCCAAAGAACTGTGGCTCGGCAGATCACCTTGGTTGAATGCGTTGGTAAGCCAAGGAGAGAAAGAAACACCTGAACTGTCACCAGCAGAGAACTGCTGAACCTGCTGGAAACAAGAATATGCATTTCAGTTCTCTGATAAAATGTACAGGCTTGAGCCAACACTTCATTCATGAGCAGTGGTGGGATTCAAAAATTTTTACTATTGGTTCTGTGGGCGTGGCTTGGTGGCCGTGGCCATGTGACTGGGTGGGTGTGGGTTTTTTTGTTTTGTTTTTTTGCAGCCCCCACCTG